GGTGAACCCTAATATGGAAATGGTGTTTTACGGAGCCATAGACACCGGCCTCTGAGAAAAGGGTCCTGACACTAGGCCTGTTGCTTCCCCCGGGAAATGCTCCCCAAAATCTGTGGGACTAGTGAGACAGTCCCATCCTGACACCCGAGGAGCTATCCCAGGTCTTGGAGGAGGCCTCGAGGTCAGAAAGCCCCACATGTATGCAGCTGCTCCCTTCAAAAAAGTGGCCTCATTGTAAGTCCTGGGAGGCTGAGAGGCCCTGTGAGATGAGCTGGGTCACCTTACTGCAAAGAGAGTAGGTGGAGGGCTTTGCGGGCAGAGATGAGGACCCTGCTGAGGATCCTGTCCGTGCCGTAGTGTCCGTGCTTCCCAGGTGCTGCTTCAGTACCCGGTGCATCCTCGTGGAGCCAGGCTGGTTGCCTCTGTCTCCACGTAGGCCTCGGGAGCAGAGGGGCAGAGCGCCTTGAACATGGTCTCAGTGGGCAGTCCCTGCCTGCCCCACCAGCCCCAAGACAGGCGCCAGGGCTTTGGAGAGCTGGCGCCACGGGGCCCACACATGGTGGGAGAGACCCTTGTGCTGGGCGGCCTGGCCCAGGCTGCCATGGCCCGCCCTGGTGAGTGCTGTCCTGCTGTTCCCGCCCTCCACGCCGTACCAGTGTCCCAGCACCAGCTCCGGCTCTGAGAGGCAGCCCGGGGCGGGTGGGGAAGCTGGGACCATAGCTGCCCCCCCCAACCCCATATACCCCACTCTGTGGGGTAAATGACTTCTGCCAGAAAAGAGTCAAGTGAGGGGAGAAAGGCACTGTCCCTCATGACAGCCATGAGCCACTTACTCTAGGGGAGGAGGTAAACATACACACGCAACTTTATCTCCTGAAACAATGCCTCAGACACCGGCAATTGCCTAGTAGGTTGATAAGTGTACCTTGGTAGAATGTGGCAAGCTTTTTGGGTGGCCCATCTCCCACAGGGTACTCCTGGACCCACCAGTCTGGGGAGGAGTGTGTGTGGTTTGTGCTAGCAGTACGGGCAGGGATGGCCCACGGTACACGTGCAGCTTATGGCCTTGTGACTGCAGAGCCCTGGGCCCCAAGTACCTCTGGTGTGATGTGCATCACTGCCCCTAGTTGAGTGACCACACAACTCACGAGTCACAGAGCTCTGAGCAGACACGTGCCTTGGAAAAGCCAGAGCAGCAGCGATTGAGAACTGCAACCACTGGCGGCCACAGCGAGGGCCTTGTCCTCTCCACGGGCCTGCCCTACCTGCCCCGCCGAGACCACCCCGCCTCGTACATGTCAGGAAGTCGACCCGGACTGGGGCAGCCAGGCTCTCCCTCAGTCCCCGAAACAGAGGTCTCAGGTCCTGCTAATAATTCGCATTTAGGGTCACCGGATTTAGGTGATCTTTGATACCCTTTCAACTATTACTAATCACAACCAAATGGACCCTAGGCAGATGAGAAAAGAAAAACAAATGCGTGGCATTGTACTTGTAGTGAGAACCCAGAAGGAACTTCTGCTTACTGCTCTCCAGGAGCCGTGGCTGCTGTCCGAGGGGGCCCTGTGAAGCCCCCAGAAAGGTTGGCACCCATGGCATCGGAGTGTCGCCGATTCACAGATGAGGAAACTGAGGCTTGGTGGATAAGCAATGCAGCTTGCCCAGTGTCGCTCCATAGGAAGCGTCAGAGCTGGGATTGAACCCACAACACCCCTCTGCTGCCCACTGCCCACAACGCCCCCTGAGCCTTGGCTCCTCCCATGCAGGGCTGGTGGGGAGGTGAGGAAGCACAGCTCTGGCCCTCTGGCCCTGTGTGGGAGAAGGGGTCTGTCATAGTCATTCTGCTGGGCGGGCCCTTGGGCAGAGGTCCTGAGAGATGGGACGGGGGGGGGGGGGGGGGGCTGCTGTGCGGCCCCCAGCAGGGTGGTGGCACTTCTAGAGAACCACTGCCTGCTCGCCTCCAATGGGTGTTCCGAGG